GCATGGCGGCTGATGTGCTGCTGCTACTGTAGCCTGGTCGGTACTTGTACATGGTAGGTGTAGGGGGGCTGTCCTTGCCCAAGAGGCTGCTGTCTGCAGGAAGAAAAGGCCCAGGAGGTACCATAAGATAGGTTCTTAGGGAGCTCTGGTGGCAAGATGCAGCACTGCAATCCCAGAGGTACGCAGTTCGAATCCACCAGATGCTCTGCTGGAGAAGGAGGGGCAATCTCCTCCTCTACCAGTTAGATCTGATTTGATGGTACACACAAAAAAATAGTAAAATTTAAAAAATAAAAATATAGTTTCTTGATCTAATACATGGTGCGTGCCACTAAGTCAGACTCCTAGCTGACACTCCAGTGGGATTTCAGAGGCAGTTAACTGCACTCTGGAGGAGTCTGCTCATCGCCCTGCGGAGCAGCAGGTGAATTCGAAGCACGCTCCTTTGGCTTGGCAGTGCCACTGCTTATCACTAAACCACCCAGGTTTCCTTACTGGAGTTCCTCAAGTACTGAAGAGGAACAATCATACCTAGTAAAACAAAGTTCAGGAAACAGGACTGTTGAGTACAAGTATAAAAGCTCAGAACACAGGATAGGTAAAAGTTGACAGTTCACCCACTGAAGCCCAATTCAAAGCTAACAGCAGAAAATCTGTCTCTCCAAGCTAATCAAGGAAGTGGTCCAAGCACACTAGGTGTTCTCAGTCACAACTTGTCCAAGTGGCTCCCATCTCTTCTGTCCTCTCTGTAGCTCACAACTGATCGCCTTACCCCCACCTTCCCATTGGAGGATATGGCGAGTTGGCGCAGCCCTTACCTTCGGTAGCAGCCAGGCTGAGGTGTGTTCGTAGCCCTGGGTAACGGCTCAGGTCTGGCTTCGGGGGAGGGGGAGGCTCAGCATCTGCTGACTGGCTTTCCGTTATCTCCAAGCTTCCCTTAGACTGGATACATGTGGCGGGACAAAAGGCACATTTGGAAAATTCACCCTTAAGGCAACTCAAAGAATTAAACAGGCATAAAGGAGGTGCTGGGGAAATAATCATCATGTGTTTCTAGCCTGGGACTTGAGGAAAAAGGCCCAATAGTTAGTTTGGAGTTGTTCAAGTGACTCATAGGGTCCCTATGAACAACCCACCTGCACCCTGTCCTATCCTGTGCCATCTGACACACGTAAGCCCATAGCTGCGGTCACTGTCAGTCCATCTCACTGAGGGTCTTCCTCTCTTTTGCTGACCCTCTATCTTTCCAAGCACGCTAGCCTTTTCCAACTGTGCAACACAGTAAGAGTTTCATTTTGGCACTCATATTTGTTCATTTCACTGAAGCTGAACTGAAGGTTCAAGTCAACTACTTATTAACCCAAACCATCTATAAATTGCTATGTTAAGTATATGCCAATACTGTGCATGAAACTATTTAATGCAGAAAGGAAGATATGGATGTAAACAATCTTAAACACAAGTGAGAAACTGATAAACAGAAGGAAACTAAAATGGAGTTTCCCTCCTTTTCCCACCAGTGAGATCCCAAGGTTTCTTCATCACTTTCCTAAGTTCCCACCTTCGTTCTCCTCAGCTCTCCCTGGATGCCATTGTCCATGACCTTCACAGTTATCTGCCCATCTGACACTTCAGGTCTGAGGAAGGGAGGTCGGATTACAATCGTCTTCTCTTTCTTTGGTCTCCCCAAATACCTGATAGCAGTAAGAGAAATGGGGATTTCATTAATCTCATCTTTAAATACTTACTGTTTGCCTACTATCTAAAAGGGGTCAGAGTCAGAAACTGGAATAACATTGAAGGATGTGACAAGGTCACCTGCTTCTTATAAAGAGTCTGTTTTGGAAACCCTGTAGGACAGCTCTACCCTCTCCTACACTGTATGATCAGAACTCACTCAACAGCTGTTAGTCTGGTTTGGGTTTTTTGGGGACTGTACAAATAAACGATCTATCATGCCAGGAAAAAGGTCAGTATTGAACTAATTTCTTTGAGTCTATGAAAAAACGGCAGCAAGACTAGGCCTCTGCAGGTCCACACCTAGTTGCACAAGGCACGCTGAAGAAAATCTCAACCGTAAGAGCTGCTTGTGTACTCCCTGGTCCACCGAAGGATGGGCAGGTGCTCTGAGCCTCTCTCTCTCACCCCCACCCCCAAGGGCACTCTCGCTGGTCCTCTCCTTTCTGACCAGGGCTAAGCCCTACAGCAGGGGGAGCTGTACCTGGGGGCTGGGGAACTGCAGAGCACGCGGCTGACGTTGTTACAGCAGCCATTGGTGAAAGGGTTCACACCGCCTCGGAATTTACCCGTAACCTGGAAAGAGGATAAAAGGGGGCAGTCAGACCCTGATAACCAAAGGCCAAAGCAGAGTAAATGTGTGCACTACCTGGGGGCCTAAATGAAGTGAACACAGGTCTTTCTCCATTTCTTTCCTTTCAGAGAGAGCTGTTCCTTTCTCCAGGAGCAGGATTATCTCTACATCCCCTTCACTCCACCCTTTCAATGGAGGATAAGCTATTTTTTCCTCTGGAAAATCTTTTCTAATAAAACAGTCTTTACTGAATGGATAGATAAAAGAATACTGCACTGGCATGAGTGAAAGGAAGGACATTCTAAAAGGAATGGATGATTAGAAACCACATGTATGATAATAATCTTACAGGGGAATTGGTGATGGGAGGAGAGAGGACCGTGTACATGACTGAAATTAAAAAACAAACACACACAAATAGAACACAACTCTTCAATCAGGGAGCATGTCCTTGGGAAGGTTAGAAATGAGATTCTAGAGTTACGGTCCTTAGGTGTCTGACCCTAAACATCTGTTTTCTCATGTAAAATATGGGTAGAAACCTCTTAGAATACTCCAAAAAAAGATGAACATAGCAAGTAATTAAGCTTGGCTACTATTTTATGTGCACCAAAGATAATGTTTTTGTGCACATAACAGTGTAATGTCCTATACTGTTGTTTGCTGATGTGTCAGAACTAACCCAGAGCTCACCCTCCAGCAGGTTTCCAGAGGCAATAAATCACACAGGAGAATGCCTATCCTTCTCCTGTGCAGCAAACTGCATGCCCTTAGGATTGGAGCGCAGCTTCTTATCACCAGGCCATCAGAGCTCATTATAAGCCTGGTCTTGGTCCTATCTATATACCTTCAAAGCCTAAAGCATCCACTATACAGTAAACATCCAGTAAAATGTCTAACTTGAGTTACGGCCTTGGTTCTCAAGCTTACACGAAACTTGGGACTAGCTCACTCCTTACACAGAATTCTGCATCATCATAAAAAGAACTCATTCAGCATCTTTTGCAGCTCTCTGCTGTACACTAAGTGAAGCACTAAGGGCTCCTTGCTGTCTGTACTCTTTAGAGATAACCAGTCCTTTCTCTTCGTACCTGTTCATTGGTTGTGCGTCCCCTAGCCACCAGCACCACGTGAAATCCCGTGAGGCCAGCTACAGGAATGAAGAACAAGCCAGCCACACACATCACTGCCATTCTGGAGTCAAACTGTCAAGGAGAAGGGAACAGGATCCAACCTGCCAGCCCCCAGGGCAGCCATCTTCTCTGATTTCATCACTGTAGGACTCAACTCTTCTCAGCCCTCCCACTCCCACTCCCAAAACCCACAGGTCTTAAAGGATACGTGACAGCCGTGCGGACCCCTGAGAGTTCCTCCATGTGATAGAGGACAAAGAGGAGGCCAAAGCCGAATACCCCCATAATGTGGGCTGTGAGGGAAAGGAGGAAGAGGAAGAAGTAACGGTAGTTCCGGCGACCAATACAGTTGTTCACCCAGGGACAATGATGATCAAATTCCTAAAGGCAAAAAGAGACAGGCTGAAAGTCACAAACCACTGTCAAGAGAACACTTATTACATTTTGCTTTTAGTCATGTTCACACTGAATTTAAAAGATAAAATCAAGTTCATGCAGTTTATCTTATGCTATTAATCATCTGTAAAGGACCCTGCAGAGGCAGTCAAAGATCAAGGCAGACCTTTGTCTCACAAGTGCTTGCCTTAAGCAGCACATATACTAAAAATGGAATGATACAGAAAAGATTAGCATGACCTCTGCGCAAGGATGTCATACAAATTCATGAAGCATTCTCTATTTTTTTTGCCAAGAAGGGCAGGGTAAGGATGGAGCCAGTGATGAGGAGGAGGAAGATTAAGCTCACCTGTCCCCTTCCTGTGTAGGAAACTTTTTAGTTTACCAATTAGGCAATAAAAACTGGGACAACACTTGAGGGAGGGGGGAGAATCACAAGCAAAAAGGAAAATCCAGCAGACAGGTGTCTGCATTAAAGAGAGAGTGGAAGAAAAGATAAAACAAAAGACAAGAGGTGGGAGGAAAAGGAAGAGAAACAACAGGAGAAACCAAAATGATGGTAGAAGCAAAATGATGAAATAAGAATCTTTTTTTTTTATTTCATTTGACTATTTTGTGTGTGTATACCATCAAATTTGATCTGACGGTACAGGAGGAGATTGCCCCTGAGACTGCAGAGCATCTGGCGGATTTGAACCGCACGCTTCTGGGACTGCAGTGCCAACTTCTTGATTAGGCCACCAGAGCTCCCTTGAAACAACAGGATATTAGATTGCATTCTCTGTGCTGTGTGTTGTGTGTACCACACAGTAGGAACCCACCCCTAGCTGACCCTCCAGCGGCTTTTTAAGCACACCAGAAGAGACTGCCCATCTTTCTCCTGTGGAGCAGCTGGTAGATTCAAACCATGAACTTTTGGGATTGCAGTGCAGTTTTCTACCACTAGGGCACCAGTGCTCTGTATTCTCCGAGCAGGAAGGTAACTCAGCCAAGTCAAGTCCCACTGAATCCTTACCTCCACACAGTTGTCACAGACACTGCAGTGGGAACACCGAGGAGGACGGTAGAAGCGGCAGGTGGCACACCACTTCATGCGCACCTGGATTCCCTTGATCTCCACTGTTTTGTAAAGGGGAGCTCGGAAGTCATCTTCCTTGTCCTCATCTTCCTCAGCTGCAGAAAAGAAAAGGCAATTAAAAGTGGCTGTGCCAGGACTAGGCAAAAGGGATATGGTGATGTTTAAAATACACTCCACTTTTTAGAATTTAATGAGTGTAAAAGACTAGAAACTTGGTAACTGTAATACTGAAAAATCAGCTCTGTATACAGCACTAGTAACAAAGGAGGAAGTAATTTGTTTCTTGATCCACCTCCTGGAAATGTGATTAAAGAAAATGTAATTTAGAAGAGGCAGCTCTGATATGGGTATACAGACATTCTCTAGTTTACATACTATGAATATATTTAAAGATAAACAAGTAGTAAACAAAAAATATGTATTTTGTGTCTGCTCAGCAGTTCATTATCAAATAGATGACTGAATTATAAGAACACTTGCCTATCTGTTGTATGTTAGCCCCTTACCCAAAACGTTCCTGTTTTATAAATTTCTCTCATGTATTTCTCTATCGATTTTTTTGCTCAAGCCATTTTCTTTATCTGAACTTCCTTGTTCTTCCTTTTGCCTATGAGAAACCTACCATCCCATTTAAAAATGTAAAACTCATTAAAAGGTCTTGGAGAGGGTGAAACTAAGCTGCTCCTTGGAGGCAAGGATTTTGAGACTCCATCTCATATACTTTGGACATGTGGCCAGGAGGGACCAGACTTTGGGGAAGGACATCATGCTTGGAAGGGTTGATGAACAGTGCAGAAGACCCCAGCTAAGATAGACTGCCACAGTAACTGGGGTATAAGGGTAAGTGTGTCAGAGATATTGAGACTGCCTCTGGATAGACAGAGTAGGTTCAGATTTATTGTGCACAGGGTCACCATGAATCACAAGCAACTCAATGGCGCATAACATTTACAGAAAACAATTTTTATGTATTATTAATAACAATTTAAAACACTGTGGGAAGGAAATGTTAAGTAAGCAATGGTGTAGCCATTACAATGTTAAGTTTTCAAATTTTGCTGACTTGGAGAAATAATAACAATATAAAACAGTAGGAAAATGGCAAATGAAAACTCAATAAACAAGAAGGATTCCCTTTGACTACATTACATAAAACTCTGCTTGCTTCTATATTACATAACTCATTGTTGTTGAGTTGGAACTGACTCACAGCTGCACCTCCAGCAGGCTTTAAGTCACAGGCAAGACACTGTCCACTCTGCGTCCTTGGAGCCACTGACTGATGCATGCCACCAGAGGTACGAACTTTGGGTCAGCAGCACTTCCTATGGACTGTGTCACACGAGATCTTTTATACGCCATGTATACATATCAAGTGTTTAACCAGTGCACCACCAGGGCTCCCTGTCTTCTATACAGTATTTTATTGTTGTGTGCTGTTGCCTTCAAACCCATTCAGTTTCCCTCCAGGTTTTCAGAGACAGTCAAGGAAACTGTCCCTCTTTCTCCTGAGAAGCAGCTGGTGGATTCAAACCACATGCTTTTGGATTCACACACACAATTCCTTACCACTGCGTCACCAGAGCACCTTTCTACATCGTACAGCAGATCAGTAAGTATTTAATGAATGACTATTAAAGGCTCATTAAAATAATTCTCCTGGCCTTTAGAGACTTGAGTTCCTTCTACTCACCTAATTGTTGGCCCTTCAGAGAGTTTTTGGCTGTAGGAACATGGAAGATTATGAGATGTTACAGTCCTACCCTATGCAATCCATTTCACAAATGCTTTCTCTCATCCACATTGCTCTGCCAGTCCCACGGGACTCATTCGTTTACAAGAAAACCTCACACTTGAGAGGAAAACCTTAATCAGCTTCTCTTCTACTTCTTAATCAACTAAGGAGAGAGAGTTCTCAACTGTTTCAGAAACCAAATACTTCTGCAAGCACTGCCCTTCAACATGCACTAGAAAGCATCTCTTTCCTCTAGAAATTCAGTCTCCAATTAGCCTCTCCTATGCTTCAGGATACCTGAAACAGCAATCTACAATGCACTGAGTCTATGCCATTTCCCACTCCCTGTCCTACAAATCATGACAACTAGGAATTTAGTTCTATTAAGACACACACAATTACGTGTTAGATCATAGTTAGGATTACTAGTTTTTTAATTACCAAAATGGGAAAATCTGCGTTTCCAGACAATTCAACAACACAACAACTCATTGCTGTTGTATCAGAACCAATGCATAGCTGGATTTTCCAAGACTGTAAATCACACGCGAGGACACTGCTCATTTTTCTCTCAAGAAGAGGCTGTAGGGAGCTCTGGTGGACTAGCGGCAAGAAGCTGCACTGCGAAGCCAAAGGCAAGCGGTTCAAATTCACCAGATGCTTCGCTGGAGAATGAGAGGCAATCTCCTCCTGTGCCAGTAGGATTCAATTCGACAGTACACAACAAGGCAAAAAAAAAA